TTTGTGCAGTATCTGGCATAATGAAATTCTGATACAAGCCAAAAACACCCAGACCAGTACACAGTTGCCCAAATACCATCCTAAATGCATCTGAGAGTAAAATGTGTGAAGCCAGGAAGCAGTGTACATTTTACGTATATTAAACAAGTTCTCAGATACAAGAGGACACGACTTTTTCCCCAGTTGAATCAGTTAGCCTAATAAAAATATCTTATTTTAAAGACCTGCCCTCAGTTATTTGTGATGCTTTGCCGTTGCACCTGAATACACTGACTGATGCAGTAGCTTTGAAGAAATCTCCTCAGTCAACTTTTCCATCCCTTAAAAAAAGTAGAAAGTCCTGATTCCCTCTTGAAAAATGATCTGGAAAATGACCAACTGCTAGTTTGTGTACTCTCATTACAATTGCAGATTAATGATAATGTGTTTTATTCAGGAAGTTACTGACTTATACAGAAAGCCAGGCGTTGGTGCTGTGAAAACACGGTGACAAGATTATTTATTTAATCTGTCTAGATTCACTGTCATTTTCATTTCCACTTTGAGTGTTCTTCTATTAAAAATATTTTGTGATAACACACTATAATAAACTAAGCGATCTTAAATAACCATCACTTGCATTTCTAACAGATGATCTGACCATACATCTAATGTATTAGCCCCAGTTTCTAAGCCAAGAGAAGCATTACAAGCTAGATATCTAAGGGAATTAATTCCACCAACAAAAAAAACCTAGAATGATAAATTATCTAATTTTTATACATATCAGCTAATACAAAAATACTGGCCTTTTTATATAAAAAGTATACATCCAGCATTTTAATTTGCCATTTTACAATGATTATAAATGTGCATATTTCAGGTTTACCTTTGAGTAGAGGTGAATTCTATCAGTATTTCTGCTTGCACAAAACATAAGCCCATCGTATATTGGAGAAGTGTCTGATTCACCTTCATCTCCTATAAAGAGAATCAACGCTGACATTAGAAAGCTTTCTTCATTCATGTCATTCAGTCTACTCAGAAATTAAAAATTATATTATACGTGTTTTTAAGAAATTACTGTGAAATTCCCCAATTAGGTGTACATGTAAACACATTTTTGTATAAACAATGTAAATATTTCCTTTCTTTTTTCCCCTTCAGCTGTTCAGCCATCATGGAACAAAACCCAGGAGAACATACACCACATGAGGATTCTGCATGTAATTCCAGAACAACACAGTAAGATGCACAGCTCAAGCAGCAAGCCATTAGAATATCTGTCTTGTATTTTTTCTGATTCTCCTGAATTACCTGTCATCTCTCTGGCCTGTGGCTGTCCTGAACACAAGCACATGCCATCATAAGTTTCAACAGAACTACAGCTTCACAGTTGCTAGTTTGACATAGTTCTTATGTTAGCCAAAAGCTGTTGTTTCAGGAGCTGTATGGAAAGGCTTGGTTTATCCATCATCGAAATTCAATAAATACTCCAGGCTAACACCAGAAAGCCATGTGCTAGTGAAGGTACTACTGTTTATCTTTCAAATGAGTAGGTTTTCAGTTAAAAGTTGTTTTTCATGCCAGAGGCATTTAATACAGTTTTGCAAGAGAATATAATCTTTCACTAGAGTCCCACTTTACCTTCTCCACACTGTTTTTCCCTTCTTCCTTCATTTTCAATTTCAACACTTTCCCGTTTGCTGATTTCAACAGATTGCTGGGTCACTGTTTCCCCAAAATCTTCTCTTCTGTCCTCAGTATTGCACTCTGCTCTATCTTCATTTCTTCTGGAGTCCTTTGACACATCTTCCCCAGTCTGAGAATTTCTCTCAACTATAGACGAAAAACACCAAGAAAAGCGATTATTTATGCTACCCAATAAAACATGAACCTCCTCAATACACATCTGGAGACAGGACTATGTAACTGAAATACGAAGAAATCACATTTTACTCTTTAATATTATTATGCTGCGACCACTTGGGAAACTAGAACTACCTTTAGTATTAGAGAATAAACACATGGCACAAACTGTTCCATTTATGTAATTTCATGCACCCACCTTAATGTCACAATATGCACAATAAATGATGCAGTTAGCAATTCTATGTTATACAGGTACTGTATGCACCATAAACACACGAAGTAGTTTCCCAGGCATTGACCTACACCTGCGGAGTTCAGCTGTCCTTACGTGAACAAGCACAGAGCCTTAAAGTAAAAGAAACCTTACTCCTCCTTTTGCAACTGAAACGGCAAATATTTATAAAAATATTAGCTATAACTTTACTAAATTTTTTATTATGTTTCTAGCCAGACTAAATAAATTTCATAAAAGACGTTGACTCTGACCTGTTGGAGCAAGAAATGCCGTATTTTCCATGTAATGTCTCTCCCGACAGATACACAATACCCAAGTTAATAAAACATCTACACCACATCATTTAGTTTTGACAAGTAGAGAAGAAGTTTGCCATTTACTTGGATTCAGAATAATCATAAACCTCAAGGAAAAGGAAAGCTACATTTGCTGCAAAGAAAACTGAGTATAAATTCTTCCTCACTGAGCTGATACCCTGTTAAGATTATCTGCATTTTCTGTTTGTTTCAAATTAGAATAATGTCAAAGATCCTTCGGGAAAGCAAAATTAAGAAGGACCACAAAACGGGTTTCTGTTCATGTGAAGACACCATTCTTCATATTTTGCCTGGATTTGTCTATGTTCCTATATTCATAAATACTGCATTTTCTGAAGCTAATCACAACCGAAGCAACAAAACGCAGCTGTCTCCGCCGCAGACGTCACTCACCGTTACTGCTTTGAGGGCTACTGCACATCTCACAGTAAGGCAGCAATTCGTTATTACTGTAAGTGCAAACACTACAGTGCCAGACTTCTTTTAAAGCTGAACTTTGACTTGAGGTATTTAAACCACAAGGAAGGACTTTGTTGTTTTTTTCTGAGAACAAAGAGGGCTCTTTTCCAGTCAAAGACGACTTCTTTTTCTTACTGGAACCGATGGGAGTAGATCCACCTAAGCTTCTTGCTCTTTTAGCTTCAGGTTCACAGGTACTTTCATGACAAGTTGCATCCGTATCACTCATTCTTGTGGAATTCAGGTTTTCACTGCTCTTCTCTGCGTCCTCTTCTTTTGTGACCTCAGCAGATTTCGAATCACTATGTAAAGATTCATTACCAGAAAGCGTTTTGCGTTTCTTCTCAGCGGAGGATTTTGGGGAAAAGAACGAACGTATGTCATGCTGTCTTTCCTTTTCAAACTAGGAAAGAAGAAAAAAATATGAAAACCCCACTTATAATTACTGCATCAGAAGCTGTTACAATTATCATTTTTCTCCATTAATATTACTCTTTAATATAAGAATCTATTTTTAACTTTGGAGATGGAAACAAAAGGTGTCTTCCCTTAAGAACAAACAGCAATCAGAAAAAGCAATTCAACATTCCTCTTCTGTTTTGTAAAAGTATTTTCAATATTCTTATGAAAATTCTGAACTAGCACTATCAGAAAACAAGTACACAAACCTGGTATGCTTTGAGTTTTTTTGATGATTCCTATTACAAGGAAAAGCTTTTACACTTTGTTTTTAAAATCAATAGGCAATTAAATTCAGTACAATTAATAAAGTTGTAATTTAAACAGAAATTACTTGGTCTTATCTGACCATGATGGTAGATCAGTCACCTAAACTAAGAACCCATTGGAAGCCTTTAGATGATATTTATACCCAGCAGAGCACTTCCCTCTACTTCACTAATTTTTAAAAAGGAATTTGCATTACTTTTTCCTACTTACTGTTTCGCCATTCATAAAGTCTGCAGCAGCTTAAGTGAACAATGGTTGTAATTTTTTTTTTATGAAAGAAAAAAGACAAGTTTTGAGGCTTACATGTGTAAATAAAAGTTCATTTTTAGGATCTTCTAGGCTTTCATTTGGGGTCCAGGTCTCAGCAGAACTCAAGAAGTCCCATTTCTCCTTATCACCTTCTTCAGCCTGCATTTTCTCTTTCTTGCCATTCAAGGTGCTGCCTGTAACTTTGGCCTGCAGAAAAGAAAACTTGCATATAGTTTCCAAGGAATTCACACCTTGGAACAAATTTATTTACTATATTAACTCAACTTGCTTCCATTGCAAACTTAATTCAGCATTTGTAAAGTAAGAAGTTCTATAGTAATTCAAAATAGCTTCAGTAATTAAAACTGTTCCTCTTCCAGCAGCCATTTCTGCAAGAATAACAATAAGCAATGTATTTTAACACAGTACAACTTGTGAAAAGGGGCATACGAAAGGTCAGTGTTTCCTGCAGTTAAAGAACACATACATTGTGTACATCTCTTACAGTCTTAACGCATTTTGCTTGGCACAGAGACAAACAAAGGCAGAATTAATTGAAAGGAGCACCTTAGTGACAGAACTGTAAGGTAAATTGTTGGCAAATTACTGAGACCCATCTGCACCATGTTTAAGGAAACTGATAACGTACTGGACTGAGAGTTTTTCAGAGGTACCTACAGGAATCAGAATACAGAATTTCATTCCCCAACTGAAAGTCAAAGAACTTAAGTGTTGCAAACTGTATTTAAGTCATGAGTAGTTTTCAGCAAGAGAATATATTGGCAAAAAAAGGGTTATCGGTTCTCAATACAGTAACTGTACAGACACAACTGAACTACTACAATACGGAGTAGCCAACCTCAGGAACAACCCTGTCAGCATTTGCTTCAGAACAAATCCCGTGTAACCACCACCTCAGATTCTACAACTAGAGTTTAAGCGGCAGTACACTGACACTTCTGGAATTGTCAGAAAATAAGAGCTGACAGAACACTAACACACATCAGTAATCAAAACAAGACACTAATGAATGCTATCAAAGGCTACCAAAAGGTCACAAAAGCAAAACAGACAAATTATTTTTCTTAGTCCTGTGAACTCTCAAAGATCTTCCAAATAAAAGAGAGCAGAATGGAACTACCCTTCCTAACTAGGACTGGGTAATACTTGAGGAAAATGGCAAAAGAAAAGAAGATAACAGTATTCTTGGGTCTACTGGAGAATTATTTGCTAATGTTTCTGCCTCTCAGAAATAAAGTTTAAGGGACAACATGCATCCAATTAAAAAAAAACAACCAACAAAAACAACACACAAAATCTGCCCCCACAACACATTCTAGCTGTTAGGAGTGAGCAGAAAAACCTTAAAAATGTAAATTGAACCATCAGAGCAATCAAAAGCTAGAAGGAAGATAGGTCAATAAACACTTGTAGATATGAACCATCCCATTCATCTCAGCAAGGAGTCACCTTTTTTGTCTTTGGATCTTAAGCGGAGAGCAAATTGCTAGAAGAGACTAATTCGGGACAGACATGGACATTTTGATGATCAGCAATTCTAGGTGTATCGATTTGTGTTATAGTAGGATACTGCTCTAGGTAAGCAAGAGTTTGGCACATGCACCTAAGTATACCTTAACCACAGCGAGTTTGTGATTATTCGGTTCTATTCCACACATACCTTGCGATTTAGCATTGCCCACATAAGGGTATCCATTGTTCCTTTTGCAATAAGGAAATGAATATTCACAGAACTGCACTGCCCAATGCGGTGTGCTCTGTCTTCTGCTTGCTTAATATGGCCAGGATCCCAGTATAATTCAGCAAACACAACGTGCGTAGCAGCAGTGAAAGTTAAACCCTAAGCAAAAGTAGTAGATGGATTTTAGAAAAAAGATTCCACATACAAAGAAGTAAAACCAAGCTAAATGTTGTACAGAACATTTTCATACAGAAATGAGAGAAATCACGTGGACAGCAGATGGACCTATTAAACTGATTTCTTCCTTGGGCCTCAGATAGCTATTAATAAGGTCCAGAAAATACTTGAATATTGTACGAAGACTGCATACTGCTTTTCCTTATGGAAATAACATTTATTTCTTATTAATCTGGTACTTTTAGAGAAGTTGAGTTCTTACTAAGTATTCAGGAATGAGATGATGCTATTTATCTTGATTTTACATAAGTAATTTCAATAGAGGCTCAAAACAGTTAATATAATTAGTGCAAACAATGAATACATGAGTCCACAAAAGTCAGATTTGCATGAACTGCCTCCAGTAAAACACTGCCATGACCAACGACTTCAGCATCTATATTATTCCGGTTTCCTATTTCACGTACTTTCTTTTTTTGTCTTACCTGACCAGCTGCCTGAATACTCAAAATAGCAACCCGGGTATCAGGATCCTTCTGAAACTGGTTGACAAGATGTATTCTTTCTGCGGAAGGAACGCTTCCATCTATTCGTATGTAGCGGACCTATAGCATATTGTAATAGCGACAAGGATGAAAGTACCCATGCCCATTTTTTTTTTTACTCAATCACCCCTTGTCCCCCAGTAAAAAATATGAAGGCATCTGTTCTATTCCTGTCTTAGGGATAGGGATACATCAGTACTCTTGGGCCTTTGATTTACAATTAAGCCTCCTATCTAGAGAAGTGCAGACGTAGTATTTCATATTTACAAAATGAAAAGACATGGGATCTTCAAAAATGGAATATTCCATAGAAGAAGGTGTAATTTCCTCGACATGATTTAAAGTTCCAAGCATTTACAAAATAATAAAAACATTAAAGAACAAAGGTAGCCACCATTCCCTAGCAACGGTTGAGTGTCCATGATCAAAATTATGAAAGTTGTTTGCAAACATTTTTACTGCTTTGAATGAAACACTCAGGTGAACTTATAACGTGCTGTAAAAGACAGAAAGGAGATAGAATCACATCAGTGGAAAAACTTGGGAAAGAACTTACTACAACATTGATTCAACACTCATGTAAACACTCATATCTAGTATGATACATTATCCTCAAATACAAAACACTGAAAGCCACACATTCCCTCTAATCCCGTGGCACTGATCTGTATATACTTCAAATCCATGAACTCCTGTACACACAGGCAATTCGACTGAACTCAAACACAGCTCATATGTATTTGTGAGGCCTGAAGTCACATTTGTGTGCACAGTTGATAATCGTTACCTTAGTTTCTATTACTGCCTCTGTACAGGCTTGAAGCATGCTTAAGTGGTGAGCAAAAACTAGAAACTTCAGTTTGTCATTTGCCAGCATCATTTTGATATAGTCCTTTACTGCTCCTGCCTGGAATAAGAGGGTGTTCTCATTAATAAGACATAGAAAATATTCAAAAAGAGACAGACATTCTTTAATTTATAGTTAGAGCATTATTATTTGATGTTTTAAGCCATGTTAAAAAGAAAACAAACACAATAATCCCAATTTCTGCCCAAACATATTTCAAACGGACAAAGTATTGTGTAATCAGAACTTCTGTATCTCCACCCAGAAAGTCATATATCAAATCTGAAAGAATAATTTTGACACTTTCATGACACCATAAAAGAATCCTCTATTTAAACTTTCATAGAATTCTTTTGTGGCAAATATAATTTTCAATATCTTTTACAACAACTATTGAAGTAATGATGACTGTTACTAATAAAATTTATCAGTGATCAATGGTTAATGCAATACCTACTGCATTATCCTTAGATTTCTGTTTTTCCCCTCTCTCTTTTTTCTGCTTCAGCTTACTCTTTGAAAATGGATTAACAGAGGGTAGAGGAGAGACTGGAAAAGTGGGGAAGAAATAGCAACAGTATTTTTAAGATATGGAGAGAAGCATTTGAAGACGTCGGTCAGATTCTCAACTCTTACTGCTCCAACAGCCTACAAAACTCCTTTTCCCCCTCTTTTACAAAAGTAAGTTAGCATAATAAAACCTGGTAACAGGGTGAAAAGTAGGCATGTAAAGGATTTTGTTTATTAACCTGCTTTTCCTCCCATCTTAAGCTGCAACACTATAGGAGAAAAAAAACCAGAACAGGGGGTCCCATTTGACAGAACAGGAAGACCAGCTAGAGGCTGCTTCCACATTTACCCATGGGGAGAAGCAGCAGTGACAGGATGCAGTCTGCACAAGGGCTGCATCAGCACTCTGCTGGGGCAGCTGCACCAGCTGCCAACACACGGGTACGTCCTTGGAGCACCCACCTTCAGTAAATCCCTAAGGTGGTGAGACGCATTCGGTGCTGCTGGGAGACTATGTCAGGACAGTCTCAGCCAGCTTGGGGGTTACCAGTACGAGTTGTAACACATAGCTCAGGTTCAGCCTATTCCATACACATACAGGGAGCACGAGTGTTTCTCCATGTCGTGATTATAAAACAAACCAGCCCAATTTAGTATTTAGGCCAATACAACCAATATTAGGTTAAAAACACACTGGGTATTTTAAACATATTAACAAGACTTCCACGCTTACCTTGGCAATGGCTGTTTCCTTATACATGCGTGTGATCAGATTCATGACTTGAGAGAAGTGGTTTTCATTAGCATCTGAATTCAGATTTCTCATTAATTTCTCCCACTCGGCAAAAGTGGTATTTAAAGTCTAAAGGGCAGAAGAGACCAGTGGTTAGATATACAGTACAAAGCATCTTCTACCTCAACACATACATTTCAGGTGTGAACCCTTTAGAACTGAGTACTTGTGAGAACGCAAAAAATTGGCCTAGAAGTAACTGTAGGATTCAAATATCTGAAGGAAAGGAAGACAGAAAGGAAAAGGATCGTACTGAAAGCAGAGGAAATGTTATCATCTGATGCCAAGAATTTGCCACATTCATGTTATTCACATTACATTTTTAACAGTAACAGAGATGCTTCACTATATATTCACACATGCTTTGCAAATACATGTAATACACATGCATGCATATAAATACCTGTGAATACCCAGATATTTCTGTTTACTAACAAATTTACTTTTAGCAAAAGTGGAAAGTTTACCTTAGCTGCAGCTTCTGGGAGATCAAATGGAATACGTTGCCTAACTTTGGGAGGCAACTGAGTTAAAACATCATTCTTCAGTCTTCTGATCATTATTTCACTTAAAAGTTGATGTAGTTCTTCTAAATTTGAAGCTCCCCTACAGTCCCATTGAGTTCTTTTACCAAAAAACCTGAAATGAAGAAAAAAACCAAAACACCACCTGAGGATGAAAACTAGCTCTTTCAAAGTCACTAGAAGATTTCAGTAGAGAATTAATCTTCAAACACACTGTTAGATAGGAAGCTGTGCTGGGTAGCAACACTCAGTGTTCCTGTTTACACCAGAGAGATGATTGCTTTCTGACTGATTCCTTCTACAGTAAACTCAGCTATTTTAACTTCCCAGCAGGTACTGCTGCCCACAGGCATTACTACCCATCAGATACCTAGTCCTCTAGCTTGTCCCAGCTACACTTCCTGTTCTGCAGGAAGTATCGTTCAGGAATAATTTTATAACTCTTGTTTCAACAGACCAGTGAGAAGACTGTACCACCATGAGAATGTTCCTTATTACATTATAGATGGGAACAATTGATAGGGCTACTACTGTGAAAGCTGCTAATACCACCATTAATATTCCTTCGATCATTTCTCCCACCATCCCCCAAGAATTTCCTCCTAGTTACAGTCAGGGACAGGATTTAAAGCTTTAAATATAATACTATTTAATGAGCAAGGGTAAGTAGAGGAAGCAGGTTTAAGGTTAAATGGTAAACATTGAAATAGAAAGAATTTACTAACTTAGTCTTCCTTGTTCTCTCTTTGCTTTGTTGTTTTTAAGGACATGTTGCAGCAGGAACAGCAGCTTTTCTGACAGCATCGCCAAGAGACAGCAAAACAATGAGTGTGACAGATTTTGCTGCCTTGGGAGAAAAGCCCAGGTAGCATTTTTCCAAGGCCAGAAGATTATGTTGCAAGCACGGAATTTTATGGGTAATTAAATTACTATTTTTAAAATGTAATTTAGAAAATTTTAATCCTTACTGAGCCTATCAACACTGTTTTGGTTGGCTGCCTTCAACCATTCGGAAAAGGGGCTGAAGGACTTACTTCTACCCTGGTGAAATATTAGTATATACACAGAGTGCTACGTAGATGGAAGACAGCAACATCTTTTGCTCATATCCCTTCTCTGGTCAGTTTATATGGTTGTCCTTAGAAAGGTTTCCTCCCTCCAGCTTGAGCATTGGGGATATAAAAGAAACAACAGGCAGAACCTCACAGAAATACTCTGGACATCATCTTTAGAAACTGGTGTCTATGAACACCTAAGTAAAAAAAACCCAGCAATATTTCCACAGAGAGTGCTGCATAGAATAACCCTATCAAGTTTATTACCACAGGATGTTTTGTTTCAGCCAAGTCATGAAGACAAAGTTGATTATTGAAAGCTTGCCAAATGCTGAACTTGATTTTTTATTACATTTATGGCATTCCAAAAATAAGATAATCATCTATGATTGAGTAGCTAACCACGCTGTACCCACGCACACTTGTGGTGTGAAAATTACAGATGCATTCAGTCAAAACACTGCGTAAAAAATAGCGTTTCTCTGTCTGAAAATTAGACAGCACTCTTCCATGTTATGTGAATTTAAACGCTGATAGAATGCCTACGATGGAGGAAGAAAAACAAGTTATCTGAAAGTGAAACCATGTAATTATTACTGTAAAAATTAACTGTTACAGCTAACCAATTTAGCTGACAGAATCTATTGTTCTGAACATATGCAAAGTTGTAGGTAAAAAAATCTTTTACCTAAGAAATTTTTTAAAGCTTCTTCTCTGCTCAACTCCAGACTCTTAACAGATTCAGACAGGTAAAACTAAGCATCTTAAATCAGATCTTCTTCTGTCCCTCTCTTTTAGAAAACAGACAGAGAAGCCGTTCATTAAACTAAAGCTGAGGGAAGCAAGTCAGAGGGAAATAAATCCTCCTGAAGGTAACAACTTAAAGCACATGAAACATGAAAATTCAGGAAAGATGCAAGGGATAAAAATGGGTTAAAACTTATCAGGCACATGGGTAGGAGGAGTGTCATGAGAAATGTTACTCACCACACTGAAGGCAAGATAGTGGACAAGAACTTAGAACGCCTATATTTGATCCCTCAAACAGGATTACTAACACATAACTGTGCTTTTGTCAGACTTCTACCTTTACTTTTCCTCAGTCTGTTAAATACAGAGACAAGTATCGGATTTTTCCACCCACATATGGTGAGATACCAAAAAGACTGGATCTCATAATACAGACAGATGTCAATTATTGCATGGTATGAGCGTAATACGGAGTCAGAAACTCAGAATACTAGCACTTGAACTTCATTTCCAACCTCAGCAACTTGAATATTGTCCTTGCACTGGTTTTAGTTGGGACAGAGTTCATTTTCTTCACAATAGCTAGTATGAGGCTGTGTTTTGGATTTTTGGGGATTTGTGCGAGGTTATGTTTCGGATTTGTGCCAAAAAGAGCACTGAGAATACGGGTGTTTTTAGTTGTTGCTAAGGGATTTGTACCAAGTCAAGGATTTTTTCATTTTTTGATTCTGCACCTGCATTCCCAACTTTTTTGCTACAAGTGGCGGGGAGGGGACACAGCCCAGACAGCTGACCCAGACTGACTAAGGGGGTATTTCATACCATGGGACATCATGCTCAGTATGTATGTTGAGGGTGGGCCGGGGGCCCATGTTGGCCATTTGGCTTTCTCAGTCACGCTCTCACTCAAGGGGCTCGCTCTGACTCTGGTGTGATCCCTCCTGGGCTCTGGCTCTCATAACGTAGGATCTGGCTGGACATTGGTTGGTGGGTGATAAGCAATTGTATGATTTGTTTTATTTGCCATTATTTTAATTACCTATTATTATTAGGGGCAGTATTATTTTTATATTATTAGTATTTTAGTAGTAATTGCATTTTTAGTAGTCTGTTTTATTCATTGATATTCAATTATTAAATTGTTCTTATATCAATCCATGAGCTTTTCATGTCTTTTCCTCCGATTCTCTTCCTCCACTGGAGGAGAGAGAAGGTGAGCAAGTGGCTGTGTGGTACTCAGTTGCTGGCTGGATTAAATCACAACAGTCCTCAAAGTCTCCTGTCAATTTAGTCCTCTTCCCATTTCCATTTGATGGAGGAGTTAGTAACTGGCCCCAAGTTTCCATGCAAGATGGTATGATACAGCAATAGAGGTACTAATTACTGATTCTGTCACTTCACATGACAAGGAGATCAGACATTCACAGGAAAATGAGCAAGTACAGTAATACCTGACACGAGCATTGCAGTATTTTTTGGCATATTCACTCCAAGTTCCAAACCTTCTTGGAAACAGTGCCTCAATCTGCATGAAGAGCTGTATAAGAAAAAAGTGATAGTGAAAAATTGCCTGCAAATGTAAGACTATGCAGAAATAATTATTACATGATTATTGTGTTAAGTTCACATTCACCAGCTGCACAAAAAATACCCAGCTTGCACACAGGCAAAAGACATTCCATAGGCATATGCACATGTCCTGAGAGAGAACAGCTGTAGGAAGCCCTCAAAGAACAAAGCACCCTGAACACCACAGCACAGTGCTGAGGACTTGGAAAAGATTTATACTGAACAAGAAAACATGGATGAGAAGATGGTATTCTGAAGAAGATACTTGTCACTTGCCAGGTACATGGGCAAAGCTTCAGTGCAGGTATTCCATGGATAGTCTGCTTCTTAAAATCCATGAAACACCTACTCATTTTTAGGTTTTACTTCAAAAAATAGACAGTGTCAATACAGACCAGAAATTTCACACCTTCCTTCCTGGTTGAGTAACAGGAGGTAAGTATCAGTTTAAACAACCTTAATCTGGATGTACTCTACTTTACAAGGTGTTCAACTATCAAAGCTTTCTGGATTCAAAGATCACTACTGCTGAGGGGCAGCAGAGAGGTCAGAGACAACAGGAATATGGAAGGTTCTCTCCTAAATGCATTTCCCTGCTAGCCTCTTAAGTCTCCTGCACACCACTTCTGCCACTTCAGCTTTCACATTACCTAATCATAGGCTAGTGACTTCTCCTAAAAAGAAAACTGCAATAGCCTAATTTTGTCCTTCACAGGATTTTTTCAAGACAGAAATCAGAATTGAAAAGCAGTAGTAAGAGAAAAAAAAACAACCAACCAAAATCAATTTATTTACCCAAATGAAGAGCTGCCATTTTGACATGGATATAAGCCAAACAAGAAACTGCCTGTGACTATTTGCTATAAACATGCATAAATGAATAATGCTTTTTATTTTCTATATGCATCCCATTTAAAGACTTCACAGAAAGGTTCTGCTTGTAACACAAAACAGATTAAAAAGACATAATGCTTTTTACACTCTGCCTTGTAGACAACAACAGAACTTTGGTATCACTATAAAACTGTCAAGTTGTCTTCCATTTGGCCAGGAGTTTTGACCCCATTACTGTGATCAAGGGCAGCTTGCACAGAATTGCCTTTTAAGCCCTTTAGCAAGGTTGCTTCCTGGTCTCGGTATCAATGAACTGTCTAAATAGTATAATGCAGTACTTGGCATACATGCAGGATGTTTCATTATTATCCGCATCAATAGATATAAATGTTTCAAGGTTTTAAGCAAATGTTCATACCAAGTCCTTTTTCATATAGTGGATAGCTTTCTCATGTTACAAGCTCTCTGAACAAATTACATTATTGAAGGGTCTTTGCATAAATTCTGGCTATACAGCAAGGAACTCTGAATTGTAAAGTACTATTTATATTAATCTGGATACAAATTGGGTCTTACATCCCATTTATTTGTACATTTGACAAAGGCACTTTTGGTTTCCTCTCTGCTCCTCCTCAACTCCATAAGTTAAACTTCCTTCAAAAGATAACTTGTTTTTCTGGACTGTAACAAGCAGATCTATTTCTTCCACTTGTGCTATACAAGTGAACATTAGGAATATCCAAAAGACAAGCAATACACAAAGGACTTCCTGTATCAGATGAGGAAGTAGAAGTTTTAACGCAAGTTCTGATCTACCAAGGAAGGACCCTCACACCCAGCAGAAACAAGTAGTTCTCTACTTGGACTGTCTATTTTCTATTTCACCCCAACAGTCTGTTACATGCCAGATTTATTTCCTGTAGGAAGAAAGACTGTCTCAAGTCATCCAAGCAGGCGTTGAAACAAGTCTGTAAAACATCAATATAACCAACTCAAACTAAAAGACCTTGTTTTCTTTTTTAGTTTCTTATACTTGTGTTTTCTAATGCAGCTAGCGCACTGTTTGATGCCATAATGCATGTGAATGTATACATTCAAGAACACTACAAAATTGTTCATTTAATACTGATACCACCCTTAAACAAAACGCCATATGTCAAATACCTCTTCAGGTCTTCCTAGAGCAGGAGTTCCAGTAAGAAGAATAGCTCTACGAGCTTTCTGCACAACTGGCAACAAAATCTTGCTGCGGGTGGCATTTCTGGATTTCATATAGTGCGATTCATCAATCACAACTACCTTAAAGTTCTGCCTGTACAAAGTGTCTATTAAAGTCTGTGCATCAGAAGTTAACAGGCCATACCCCAGAATCGTTACTTTGCTGGTTGATATTCTCCTAAAAGAGAAAATCCAGAGGTTTTCTTAGTAAATTTTAACTGTAGGAAAATTAACATAGCAAAGGAATTACATCAAACTTATTTTTTTATGAAGGCATGTATGACACCTTTTTCAGTGATTAATTAGTGGGTTGTCAGGCTACTAATAACTTTTGATGTTTAAAATACTCAACCATCTCACACTTCCAAATCACACACATTTCATAGCCATTTTCAGAAGACATAGACTGCATTTAAAAGGAAGTTCCTTTATCTGCTTGCATTGCTTCAACTTGAGCTCCTTTCCAGAAGTATCGCATGGGACAAATCCACTTGCTGGATAAGAAGGTATACACGCAGGTCAGATCACTGGGAGCACGCTTTGTAAACAAGCACCTGAAGTAATAACGTCTCTGTGCAAGCTACCTACGGCTCTACGTACAGAGTCACCATACCAGCAGCCTAACACAACTAACTAGACTGGCTCTGTGTATTTGGGGACTGCAAAACTACAGTCTGGGCTGAACCTCACAGCCTAAAAAAATAAAAAAATTTATCAGACCTGTCTAACCACATTTTTGCTCAAACAGCACATGAAGAAAACAAAACTGGAAGCAGGGAGTCATCAAAGCACAAGATGAAAAATTAGTGTTTAGCTGGAAAGGAACTTCCAAGTTTAAATTTAAAGACATATATAGCCCCAAGGCACAAATTCATTTTGAAATCACTAGAGAGCACTGTGGCCCTTCAGAAGCCTTTGAGCAGCACAAGAACTCTTGAGGCTCTTAGACAAACAAGTCACCAGAATGAGAGTCAGAGCTGGTCCACCCATCTGTCAGACGCAACCGCTCTGCTGGCGTGGTTTTTATTTTTTCTGCAGTAGCAACATCAAAAAAGCTCCACTAAGCTGAAGTTTCCTTTGGCACTGAAGAGGAAGGATGTGTGTGCACATTCATGTTTCTGGATATGGAAGGAACGGCAGTGGTTAGAGCACTGGGACCGTGTTCAACACACTACAGACTCTGGCTGTTAATGTATGCAGGAATGTAGCAAGCAGGAAAACAAGAATTTCCTCTACTGCTTTGTGAAAGGTGGATAAAAAAAAATTGCAAATAGAACTATTTATCCTTAATGGAACCGTTTTGTCTAAGAAACATCCAATTTCAAATTTGGTTAGAAATCAAAAGAACCTAAATTGATGCCTATTTTAACCTGGTTAAACGAAGAAGCTAAACAGCATTCAAGCAGTAAATGTCATTGCTGAAATTCTGAAGAAAATCAAAGTATTGAAGTTAGAGAAATCGAAGCTGAACATATGAAAGCAGAATTTAACAAATGCTAAACCACCTTCGCCAGCTGTATTTTTGCATTTGCATTTTCTTGCAAACACATAAAACAATTTTTTAATGTCAAAATATTAATTGGTTCAACAGTTACCTCACTTAGAGCTAGGAAGCCTCCTGGGAGTTAAACAAGCAGAAATCCAAGTTTTCCTTTCCTCTTGTTGTTGAATGAAAGTTAGGGATAATGGTTAAGGTCTATTCCTTTTAAAAATCTCACGTTATAAAATGAACAGGATTCTGTTTGCCGTTCACTTTTGCCATCGTTTCCCTCATTCCACTTTTGCCCTTTCTGCATTCAGCACTATAAGCATTCAGCTTGTGTGCATTTTAGCTAAATAGCTGAAAATAAATTTTAAGGTGGGTCATTATATCCTTATTTTACTTCCCATTTTCCTGTAATAAATTTTGACTAATCAGTAGCAACTACCCCTTGATTAAGGTTTTAAAATGCATTTTCAGTTGGAGTTATCTGGTTATGACAAGGAAGATTCCAAGCTACTGTCTCATCTGCACATCTTAGTGGTCAATTCCCTTTCTGATGCTCCCCAGACAACATGAAGATCAGTCCTCCTTACCCAGAAGTTTTAGAATGACATCTAGACATTACCACAGAAACAACCAAGTCATTTACAGTACAGCACACTGAAAACTACCCTTGTAATTCAGTGCAATAGGACAGTTATACTAATAACATACAAGACTTGTAGTCTCTCTTTGATGAATTCATGCTGTTAAGTCTAAAGATAGAAAACTTAGGTCATGATGACCTTTTCAGTTATTTAGAGAATACTTATTATAACTTATAAATTTTCTCAGTGCGCTAAATAGAATTTTAACAGTAATTACTTCCTTATTTTGTAATGAGTACCAGAAGTTTTCAAAAGAAATGTTCTAAATGTTTCACAGAAGCTAAGGAATACAAGCTAACTTATCAGAGTTGAGAAATAACTGCATATGTTCAACTTGAGACATGCTGAAGTAATGCAATATTCAACAAAGAAGCACCTGCAACTTTGCAAAAACCAGACCTCTCAGTTTCAAAGGAGATGAGTGACTGCCATAACATAATAATACAAAACTGGGCAGAGCGGCTGATACACCAGAGGGTCATGCTGCCATCCAGAGGGAGTTCTGACAGGTGGAGAAACGGGCTGAGACGAACCTCATGCAGTTCAACAAGGAGAAGGGCACAGTCCTGCACCTGGAGAAGAGCAACCCTCTGCACCAATATACACGGGGGGTCACCCAAGTGGAGAAAGCAGCTCAGCAGAAAAGGACCTGGGAGCCTCGGTGGGCACCAAGTTGAACATGAGCTAGCACCATGCCTTTGGAGCAAAGGCAATGTCAGTTGTGTTGGACAAAGCATTGCCAGCAGGTTGAGGGAGGTGATGCTTCCTCTCAGCACTGGTAAGGGCACGTCTAGAGTTCTGTGTTCAGCTCTGGGCACCTCAGTACATGTGAGCCATGGATGTACTGGAAAGAGTACAATGAAGGGCTGTGAAGGTGAATAAGGGACTCTAATAGCATCTCTCCTATGATGAAAAGTTGACTGGGACTGTTTAGCTGAGCAATGACAAGGATCTTATTAATGTACATGAACACCTGAAGGGAGGGTGTAGAGAAGATGGAGCCAGGCTCCTTTTTGTGCAGCCCAGTGACATGACAAGAGGCAACCAGCACAAACAAACACAGAAAGTTCCCTCTGAACATCAGGAAACACTTCTTTTACTGAAAGGGTGACTGAGCACTGGCACAAAGAGGTTTGTGGGGTCTCCACCCTTGGAGACAGTCAAAAGCCACCTGGACACAGTCCTGGGCAACTGGACCTAGGTGGCCCTGCCTGAGCATGGAGGTTGAAGAAGCCTTTCTATAGAAGAATAATTAACTTTACTCACCCAGTATCAGTTTTGTTCTGAATGATGCTAATATCATCTGGAGAGAGTTCTGGAATCCACTTCTCCATCTCATCAACCCAAGGGTATCTCAGAGATGAAGGCACTACAATTAAGAGAGGCCATTCATTTTTATAGTAATAGGAAACGGCAATTGCTTGAATTGTTTTACCTAGCCCCATCTGGGAAAAGAAAAGAAAATTAAAAAAATTAAAAATACAAGTCTATGCTCAGAAGGCATGTTCCATTCAGAAAAGCTAAAAATATTTTGCAAAAGACAGAACCAGATAAAGGAAACAAAGACACAGAGCTAGTTACACAGTATCTATTTCACTGTCATTTTCTTATCACAGATCATCTTTTATCAAAGAAAATGCTTCTCTGAGTCAGTTAATAAATACGTTATATCTGGTCGGCTCATTAAAGCTATAAGAAGCATTCATTTCAGATTTTTCTATTCAAATTATATCTGGTCAGCTCATTAAAGCTATAAGAAGCATATCCATTCATTTCAGATTTTTCTATTCAAGGTCTTAGTAGACTAGACTATAAAGATCAAACTCTAACTTGTTGAGCTACAAAAAAACATTATAAAAAGACTGACTACTCAAAGGAAAGAAACATAAGGGATATGTTATTAACATAAAATGACAACTTTGTCCGAAGTTGCACAGGCAACTGAAGAACAAGGCAACAAGAACAAGAACATCTGCATGAAGAGCTCTGCTTTTGATGCAGTGGGTCAACGAAAAGAACTACTGCTGTCATTCACCATAGCTAAAAGTTTCTCTTTATTCCGTGACACAGAAGAGGAAGTCCATCTAGTGGAGAATTCAGATTTACAGACAAGGCAAAGGGTAAAGATACAATACATAGGTATCTATTTAACAAGAAAGTACTTCCTTCGTTCCATTGAGGTAGGAACGTTCCCATCTCGTGACTTACAAACATAGATAGCAGAACATGAATCTAAGATCCAGAATCTAGGGGTTTGTTTGAAAAAAACAAACAAAAAAAAATCCACAACCCTAAGATCTTATCAGAGAATGCAGCTATTTTCTCTGCTTGTTAACATAGCAAGAGATAGTTCAAGATTCCTGTTAAGCACTAAAGCAAAGACTGACCTTAAAATACTCAGTTCAGATTTTCCACAGTACAGTGACTATCCGAGTTGATTTGCCGCTACCTAACTACTCACGGCACAGACATACAAGAACAACTTATATCCTCACTACTGAGCCTAATGAGGCTTTGAGCAACCTGGTCTAGTGCAAGGTGTCCCTGCCCATGGCAGGGGGTGACTATCCGAGCTGATTTGCCGCTACCTAACTACTCACAGCACAGACATAGAACAACAACTTATTTATATCCTCACTACTGAGCCTAATGAGGCTTTGAGCAACCTGGTCTAGTGCAAGGTGTCCCTGCCCATGGCAGGGGGGTTGGAACTAGACGATATTTAAGGACCCTTCCAACCCAAACCATTCTGTGATTCTATGCACTGACTTGACCAGGAGAAGTCCCAGGTATAGGAGAAATAATAATGAATATTTCTACTCTTACCAGAAATGATCAGTGAACTACTGGGATACTATGTGTTCATTAAGAACACACAAGCTCTCATTACAGTTTTCCTGCAAGCCCTCCTTGTGTTACCAATAGGGATGCAGCCAGCTGAAAACAAATCTAAGAAAGTAAAAAAGGAATGCATTCATTTTTAGTTCGTTGCCACAGTTGTCTCCCTGACTCAGCCTGCCCAGTCACCGGTGCAGCAGTGACAATCCAGGCAACTGAGTTGAAACGAGCAGGAAATAAGAGGCAGGTCTCTTGGCAGAAGTGCACCCATAACTGAAACTAGATCCCAGACAGCTGATCACCAGTCTGGACTGCAAGAATGTGAGAGACAGGAAAAAAGCATAGAAAAACTTATGCTCTTGGTTTTTGATTCGAGCACATCTTAGTCACAGAAATGGATGACATGGAAAACCTGAAATTTTCTGGGAAAAAAAGTTTTCTGTTCCCACTCCAAGGAAGAATGGCAACATATTTTTAAAATACCTTTCAAAAAGATACTATTATTATTGTACTTTATTCCTTACATAATTACATCATCTGGGTATAGGTACAGTAATTATACAATCTCTAGTTTTCATATGTAACTTCTTTTTGTATACGATTTCATAATACTGATGCTTTCTTTTACCAACATTTTCTTCTTTAGAGATATGTCAGCGAGCAGAAGATACACAGCACTGCACAATACCTCCACCAGTGCCAGCTCTATCGTTATTATGAAATACATTTGAATACATCATGAAATACATTATTTACCTCAGCATAAATATATCTTGCAGCACTTTTTATTGCCAACATAATTTTATGTGGTATATTTTCTCATTCAAGGAAGGAAATAAGAAACTTGGTTTTAATAAACTACTAGCTACTGCTGCTATTCCAATTTTTCCCAAGCTTCCCTCTTCTCCCCGACTGCTTCTGTATTCTCCAAAGTTATGAGAAATTTCACATTCTGTAATGAGATTCCTATACCATGAGGACATGCTTTAATCCCATTAATCAATTCATCTCTCCCTCCCTGTCCCCTCACAGTGTTTCAAGAAAACCCAAATTACAGTTCAGAGACTGTATCAATCCCTAAACATTACCTCTTTTTCAGTAAGGTTTTATACTGACAACACATGAAGAACATTATACGCTATTACACAAATGTTTTATCTGCAGGAAGAAATGCTGGACTCTGATTTCCCCAATATGCAAGTCAAATACAATTTGAAAAAAAAAAAAGTATGAAAGTACTGAATTTTACTATTACTACTTGATTAGTGCATTTAAGAAAATTCATCCTTGGAAAGCGTATCTGTTCAAAATCCACCTCTTTGGGCCAGGAATGTCTCTTAATCCATTAAAAATAGCTAGCTATGCAATTATAAAGTGCTAAAAAAAGTCAACCAAGTTAATATTTAACCAACCTATATACAATTAAAAGTAACCTTCTAAGTTTCCTCAAAGATTCTTTTAAGCTTATGTCAGGTTTCACATTTCCCCCTCACTTAGATATTTTCAGAATTCTGCTGAATATCACAAGAATTAGGCTTCTTTCATTACCAACCTTTCGGCCCACATCTCAAACAAAAGAAGTCGTATCTGCATGAAGTACATTAAAACAAGAAAAATGGTATTAAAGGAACAGGAACATCACTTACCTCATCAGCAATCATGCATCTAAACAAGAAACAAGAAGAGAGGGAAAAAAAGCAGAAGTTAATCGTAAATAGATAAATTTCTAGTAAAAAATTTATAGGGATTGGTTTTAAGTTATGGGTTTACTGAATTAATGAAAGAAAAAACAGACTTTAGTCCTACAGATATCAACTACAAGTAGTAAATTTGGTATGAATTTGAAAATGAAGTATGCCAATTATTCTAAAAAGGTATATTCAATTTGCTAGCCTTAGTGAAGAACACGCATTGTAAAACTGAATTGCTGCTTTGGTCTAGTACTACATTAATTGTAATCTTAAGAGACACTGTCAAGGCAAGAAGTGCATCTTCAATTTTATTGGCTTTCAGAAACAGCGATGTTTTTGCTGCTTCACGATTAAAAGATTATTTATGTGTCAGCTTGATTTTAAAAAGCTGCTTTCCAGAGCTGTCACATGTGTTTTGAAATAGAAGCAGACACTCCCTCTCCCCCACCAATTGTACCAGCTAAAGTATTTGAAAACGAACTTGCGGTTTTTTCACTTAGTTAATGCTACTCCATATAAAGACAATCAAAACCCCAATCCCACCACCAAAACTAGTAAAATCTCTTCAGCAGATTTACATAATTTGAAAATTAACTTGCGGTTTTTTCCATTTTGGAGTCACTTAGTTAATGCTACTCCATACAAAGACAATCAAAACCCCAATCCCACCACCAAAACTAGTAAAATCTCTTCAGCAGATTTACATATTCTAAGCATTAAATGTCATCTTTGATATTAATTTATCACAGTTACCTTAAGTTACTTAGTTTCAGTTATTTAGCACATACATTCTTAACTCAAGTAGGGCCTAGGGAACTTGTGTTTCTCACCCTACTCCCTTACACCATCCCCTTGTCTTACAGCAAGACGATGACTTCTAGTTCCCTTTTTTCCTACAGCAACCCTGGACTGCAGGAAGATACAGATTTACTAAGTATCTTCTGACCAGAAGCAATACTGGGAATTCCAAAGCAAGATCTGAAACAGGTGCAAAGCACGAATTTCTGCAACTTGATAAGAGCTGTCAGTTTGATAGCAATACCAGCTTGGGCTGCATTTAAATAACTGGCAATTAGATGAATTCCCCAGCTACTAAGTAATCTGGGACATTTTTCAAACATTGTATAATTTTCTGAATTGTCATGAAAAGCAAACCGGAGTACAACTCCTACCAGTTGGGATCATAGCACCCCACAAAGGGCATAGGCTTAGGCAAACCACTGACTGAGAAACAGAGCAGCGAGTGCTGTTGGTTGGACTCAGTGACAGAAAGACTGACAGCTCTCTGCAGTCTACCACTTTGCTTAAGGATCTATAAATGTTTGCTGGCAGAAAAAAGTGCCAAGTCTCAGAAACTACAAATTACTTCAAGCTCTGTAAGGGAATAAACCTCACAGACCACTCAACTTGTTTTCCCCGACTCAAGTATCCTTCTGCCTTGTGCTTTTCTCTTCTAATCCCCCATAGCTTTCAGTCACGGACACAAACTAGACTTGATGACTTGCTGTGCATTAATTCTTCACAGTCTGCTCCCAGCCACTGCATATCCTAAGGAAACTGAAATTTCTACTCCTATGCCACACGCACCCACTGCACCATGTAACTCAAATGCAATGTTCCTTCCAGGAAAAAACCAGAAGAGATCTTACAAGTCCCCATGGCTATAATAAAATCTAACACACCACGATATAAATGGTGTCTATTTTGATACATTAAAAAAAAAAAAATCTTTTAAAGTAATACCAAACTGCTTTTTTAGTGTTAGATGCTGTGAGGTTAGTGTAGCAAGAGAAAACCACAGCAGAGGCCTTTTCTGCACAAACCCCAAACAACTTTACGCTAATGATTAATGCTTGTAGCATCACCATCAACTTAGAGCTCTCATCAAACCTAATAAGCATCTTGCCATAGGGCCAAAATGGACATTTCTGTGGTCAAAATAGGCATCTCAGCAGAAAATGTACGATGGCATTTTTCAGACATGATGGGTGGGATAAAGTTTGATATTCTGAGTAATACGGTACATTGCTGGTTGCTCCCTCAGTCTGCCAGTGTGTATGTCAGCATCTACCCATTTCATCAGTTTCTTTCAACTAACACAAAAAAGGATTCCAAAGATGTCCTATATAACATTTTTTTTTTTATAGGTGACAAGCTATCTACTTGCAATAGCTGTGTAACAACACTCCCTGCCTCAACTTGTTAGGGATGGAGCAATGAAAACAAAGGAAAAAAACACAGCAAAACAAAAGTCTGCACAGATTCACAAAGGAAAAAAAGCAGGAAGAGAATTATTTTTAGTGCCAACTCATGATTGTGGGACCTTAATGTCTGTGATTTGCAGCTGGGCAAAGACATTTATTTGCAGACAACTAACACACAGTTCTTATTTTGAAATAATGTCAGTCTATGCTCACTTCAAAGACTGATTTTTTTTAAATTAACACTCATTGTTAATTGCTTGAACTGAAGTTTACAAAACAAGCCTTTCTTTTTGCAGATTCTTTCAGAGCCAACTGCTTGCAGTACATTAATCATGTTTCTTTAAAAACAGTTCAAAGCCTGAAATCAATTGGAATGCACAACAACCTAATGTTGCAGGGTTTCTCAAACTCCTTATACAAATGCAGAAAATGAGTAAGATTATAGCAATTAGCTACAGAACAGAGACATCTCAAGATTAAGCCAAATACCTTTCTCAATAATATAGTATATTTAGTGTAAGGATGTCAGTGCAAATGCACAAATATAGCAGTAACCAAGAGTACATTGCATCCAAGTAGCATCTGGCAGCAGGGAAATGTGGTAAAGAAGACAGGAATACAAATGTTCTTTGCCACCTTCTGCTGACAAATACCATATTTCATATCAACTTATATTTTAGTAGAATTGCTTAAATAACGACGTGTTAATTATGCTATTACAGACACTTAGAAATCAAAGTGAGAATACGTAATAATAGCTGAGGTTGGAAGGGACCTTAAAGACCATCCAGTTCCAACCCCCTGCCATGGGCAGGGACACCTTCCACTAGACCAGGTTGCTCCAAGCCTCATCCAGCCTGGCCTTGGACACTTCCAGGGATGGGGCATCCACAGCTTCTCTGGGCAACCTGTTCCAGTGCTTCACCACCCTCTCCGGGAAGAACTTCTTCCTGATATCTAATCTAAACCTCCCCACTTTCAGTTTAAACCCGTTACCCCTTGTCCTGTCACTACAGGCCCTTGTAAAAAGTCCCTCCCCAGCTTTCTTGTCGGCCCCCTTCTGGGCTCGCCACAAGATCCAATTGCATAAGATTCTATCGCACTGTTCTTAGGCATATGTGAACTATTTAGACCTTTTTTCCCACCCCCCTCAGGAGAACAAGCTGAAATGAAGAAATTCAGAGTGATTTACAAATTGCTCTGACAGTTAAAGGCTGATTAGCAATTAAAATAAAAAGCCTTAAAAAATATGTCAGCCACAGGAACAGATGTTTTTTCCATAAGATGGGATCCTTTTCATTAGAGTGAACTGTTGCCACTTAAACTTTGACGATTTGAGTATATGCTGAAGAATGTGAAGTTGTTCTGGTTTTCCTTTTGCACTCATTTTTAGATTGTGCTCATAGAATCTTTGCTGCTATAAAGTATCTTCTGTTTTCAGGTCTATTAACTGCCATTTAATATGTCTGAAGTGGAATTTCTTAGGTAGCAGCAAGATTGCTGGTTTTTTAAGTATTTATAGAAACTCATCATTTTCTTGCTGGTAAATGAATGGAAGCAAAAAGGTAACAGCCATCATTTCCTCCATAACATAATCACTCTGAAAAGATCATAATTGTGAAGTGATCAACACAGTTTTATCTTTCTTGTTTCTGCAGTACAAATACAAATCCAGATCCTAAAGAAACACCCGTATGCTTAGAAGATACATTATCTATAGCGATATTTTGCTATTTAGTTAAATATTCATTCTCTTCTCCCATGCAATGATGAGATAGCTTTGTCATAGTCGCTATTTTCTTTCTGTACCTGCAACCCATACATTTTTTCAGCCATTTAAACATTCGACTAGACACGTCACAGGTTGATATGAATCAGTTGCACAAAGCTGTATTTAAAGCTCCAGTCAGAGTATCTGAATGTGGTAAGTCTTCTGTTGTGACACAGTTCACAACATAAATCACTGCTTTGAGCTACATCATTCATACTCAAATTCCTGAAGTGTTACAGTTTTAAAATAATTGATTTATGACAATTAATTAACATTATTGATACTTATAATTGATAAAAGTTTTAACATGACACACAAGATGCGTTTATGGTACAAAGTAGAAGTTAACAAAACTAGTGGAAGGGGCAGATGTTGAAGTTATTTTATGACTTAATTCATTTTAGAGCATTCATCATCTGTAGTTTTCACAGCTTTAGAGTAAGAAGCTGCAAGAGGCCTGCTTAATATAGTTACACAATGAGAAGTTTTTTCACTAGACTATAGGGCAATGAGAAATAGCTTATATTCCCAAGAGGGAAATCATCAAGTGTTCCCAGTTTAGAATCACAACAACTAGATTTGAAATGTTGAAATGTGAAGAATTTCACCATTATGATAGCCCAGATCACATAGAATTCAGGATATCTTAATAGTTGCATTAAGTTGTTAGAAAGTAATACTTTACATTTTGCTTTATATAATGTTAAAAATGTGCAGCCTCTATTTAAAACAAACTTCAGTATATTCTCCATTATTGCAGTCAGACAAGCTGCCAGCGTGAACATAAAGGTTCCATGCTGTCAAAGCACAAGAAACAGATCTTCAGCTACACTGAAGGGACAAATACGTATTTTTGTTTCATGTATTTTGACTGCAAGAAGACAGACTTCTTGTTCTCTGAAGTTCAATTAGTCATTTCCTCTCAACTGGTAGTTACCCAATCCGAGCTTCATCATTCATATCCCATCTGTTCATATGACACCTTAATAATAGCTCTAT